TGCTTTGCCGACATCTGTGAACAGTTTATTACTCGCAGGTTCTTCCACCGAATGAACATATCCTTTGGCAGCGCGGCTGCCATTAGCCGTGACAAAGCATTGCTTGGACATAATCTGGTCTCCAAAGACCTCTTCAATTACTCCGGCTCCGTTGGGAAACCGCATTACTTGATGGTAGGATGATGCTACTGATTTCATGGCATGGAGCCATGTTCTTCCCAAGATTATGTTGTAAGTGGAAGGGACCTTCAACATCCAAAATTCCACTTGTTTTGTCACGCTTCTTGCCCTGACTGGTAGGATAATTTTGTCGACTGGCCATTTTGGCATTGAGTTGAATCCGATCAGGGGGGATACAGCCGATGCCAGGTCTTTGTCCTCCAATTTCAGTTGTTTGAAGGTGTCGTAGTACATTATCTCACACGAGCTACCTTGGTCTATCAGAATTCGCTTGACGTCGTAATCCTTGACGCGGAGGGTGATGACCAGTGCATCATTGTGAGGGCAATATATTATTTCCAAGTCCTTGTCTGAAAAAGACATGACGTTCGTGGCCTCTGTTCTTCCTTTCTTGATTGTGGGTTGTGCACTTAGAACCTCCCTTAAGTGCTCAGCCTTTTTGATCATGCCCCTGAACTCACATACGCGCTCAGGTTCGCATATCCCATGTATTACGTTTATCACGCCTTGAGGTGGGGCGTCGATTGACATTCCGTTTGGGTGGTTGTCATTTTGGGGGGCTGGCTGCGCCCCTCCTTCAATGTATTTGTCCAGGTGACCGGCCGCCACCAACTCCTCTAGATGTTGTCTTAATGGTATACAATTTTCAGTGTGGCGCCCCTTTCTTTATAGAAGGTGCAACGTGATCTTTCGTCGTAGTCTTTCTGAGCCTCTCCTAGCTTGGCAGGCCATCTGACGAAAGGTTCATCGCGTATCTCGCTTAGAATCCGGTAGATTGGCTTTTTGAATACCGTGGTAATGGCAGTGCGAACTCTTAGCCATCTTTTATACTGGTCTTCTCCGTTGTCCCGCCTGCCTCATCTGTTTTTGTTCGGACGTTCTACCATGTTGACCTTTGCTGCAGTCTTTTTATCTGGTATTGCCGTCGTGCTAGACTTTGCTTTAGCACGGGCGCCATCTTCTTCAACCCGAATGTGTTGGTGTACTGTCTCCATTAAGGCCTCCATCGTGAGAGGCGGTGTCATAGTGATTGAGTCCCTTAGTCTGTTCCCGACTGGAAGGCCTCTTTTGTATTGTGCGAGGGCGAGATTGGTGGGGCAGTCCCCAATCTGGTTGAAGGTCTCCCAGTAGCGGCTGTTGTAGGATTTTAATGACTCTTTTTGGCCCATGTCGATGGAGAGCAATTGATCAATTTCCATCGAGGTCTTGGTGTTCGTTCTGAACCTTGTTACGAACGCCTCCGCCAATTGCGCCCAGGAGGCTATGCTGCCTTCTGGAAGTTTTTCGAACCAAGTCAAGCCTAGGTCACCAAGGCTTGATGGGAAGAGGATGCACATCAAAGCCTCGTTTCGTCGATATACCGCCATAACCTGGTGGAAGTGACTTAGGTGCATGTAAGGGTCCGTCTTCCCTTCGTACGTAGTAAATTTAGGCTGGATGAAGCCTGAGGGTAATGATGCGTTCTCAATCGCCGGAACGAACGGCGAGCTATGTAGTCTTGCTAACGCTTTATCTGTTGGTTCGTAGGCAAGGTATGGTACTGGCATTCCAACCTCGATGCTTCCATGCGTCTGGGGAGCTAACCGCCGAAGGGCTGAAACTCTGTGCGGGTCGCGTGCCCTAGCATCCTCCTTCTGTCGCGCCTTTTCTTCAAGCACAGTCCGTATGTCAGACAATTTAGGTAATTCTGTTTGCCTGGATGATGTATGGTGCATGTGTGAGGGCCGATAGGTACTTCCCTCTGTGTAAAACCTTAATGATCTCGTTCTCTCAGACCTGGAGTAACGAGTTCTGGAAGTCCTTGATTGAGTGTCACTCGTCCTGAGGCTTCTACTTTCTGCTTGCGATGTCGTGGTATGCCTACTACGATCTTTTGAGTGGCGAGGAGGCGCATTGCCTTTGCGCACCTCTCCTGTCGCCACCCCTTTTCCCTTGATCTGGCGCTTCATGGCCTCCATGTCCACCGCCATCTTCATTATTAATTCATCTTGCTCCTTCACGCGGTCCTCCAGAACTTGAGGATCAATCATCCGCCTTTGTCTGTCAGGACTTCGTGAACGAGAGTGACGGGGGCTGTTAGTCCGCCTCCTTCCCCTTGCATCCCTCCTGGGATTTTGTCATTGTGGCTCCAAGTCCGCCATGGGAGGGATAGAAGGTAGGCCTTCGCGCCTTGCACCCCCCTCTGGTGTTTGTCCGTCGATGGCGGACTACGGCAAATCTTCGTTGTGCGCCATTGCTTCTAAAGAGGAAAAGCTTGATCAAGAGGTTTTGTTCTAGTATGATCTTTTCACAGACGGCGCCAAATTGTGTGGGTGATTTTCTGACCACACTGCCAAACAGGTACCCAGTTGGAGAGTACCGGCAGAATAGATTAAGCCCGAACGACTTGTAACAGAAAGAAGAGTTTCTGGCGGTGGCTCGTCCACCCGAGGGTACTCCGACGATCAAGTCAGTACTCAATATCTCTCAAAGATAACCAACAGTACTTAAATCACTAGACAGAATATCAAAAGCATACTTTAAACCCATGGGGGTGCTTCCCTTTTATAGGAAACTTAATCCTAGTCCCAATAGAAGCCTAGCTCTATTGGACTTAAGATTACAGCTAATCTTGGACTCCCAGTAGGATTAGGATAAACTCTCTAAGAGTCTCATCTTTACCCAAACTGAAGTCTTCTCCCATTCTAGGACTCTTGTCCCTTATCCGCTTATCTCGGATTTCGGTATTCTCGCAAATAACCTCGGCCTAGCCGAGATTACCTCGGCGTCATGATCAGGACACGTGGCACCTCGGCTGGCACTTCAGTGACACCTCGACCATGTGTTGTCATTCAAAAATTATGTCCCCACATTACATTTAATCCATAATCGTTTCACATTTTCTCTAACAATCATCAAATCAATTACAAAAAAAAAAAAAAAAAGGATCAACTTTCCAAACACAACTTTTTCAACTAGGTTTAAATTGTTAGAAAGTCAAATAACCAATTAAAAATGAGTTAGTATTGTCTATATTATTTATTTTAAATATCATATAAATAATATCACATAATATTATAAAATTATTAAATAATTTTATTTTTGTCCCAATCAATATCTCGAAATTTGTTTAAAGTTTTTAAATGATTACAAATACCTTAAAACAACAAACACAACACAATCAGTTTTTAACACCCCAACAACAATAATGTCTGGATATCAGCTTAGGAGGAGATTTAACTGCCAATTACTTTAATGCCCTAAGCATGTGATTCTCGAGTGCCTTCCGATTCGCGTGGGACTAAACATTCTCCTTCAAATTCCTTTTGTTTGTGTTGTTTTGACTCCACATTCAAATTATAATCTATTTATTATCTCATGAATGTTTTAAAAACACTTTTGTCTTTCTATGTCAATACTCAACTTCTTTCTGGATTTATCACTATACTATAAAATTCGACTAGCTGTACATTCAAAATTGTGCCATGTAAAACAAGTTTTGAAGTGTGGTAATAATAATTTGAAAAAAATAAATAAAAATAAAGTGAAAATAATAGCTCCTTTGAAATCCAAGAAATGTATGACAAAATTAGCTAAAAGTGTCTTAACATTATTTATTTTAATTTTAATTTTAATTTTAATATTTTTTTTCATGTACACAAGCGTTTGTTGGCAAGAATCTTTCTATAATCTGACAACAAAAGGGGTGTTTGTTTTAGCTTTTCAGAGCTAACTTATGGCTTTTAATTTTGAAAAAGTTATTTTGGACTGTTTGGTTAAATTTATTTCAAACAGCTTCTGATTCTAACAGCTTATTTTAACTCCAAAAAGCTGAAAGGTGTCGTAGTACATTATCTCACACGAGCTACCTTGGTCTATCAGAATTCGCTTGACGTCGTAATCCTTGATGCGGAGGGTGATGACCAGTGCATCATTGTGAGGGCAATATATTCTTTCCAAGTCCTTGTCTGAAAAAGACATGGCGTTCATGGCCTCTGTTCTTCCTTTCTTGATTGTGGGTTGTGCACTTAGAACCTCCCTTAAGTGCTCAGCCTTTTTGATCATGCCCCTGAACTCACATACGCGCTCAGGTTCGCATATCCCATGTATTACGTTTATCAATTAATTGAAAAAACTATTTCACAGCTTATTTAACAAACACTACTCAGGAACTTAAATCTATAATCCAACAGCTACACCAAACAGATTAACAACTTCTGATTAAAGTCATAATCTATAAGCTGTTTTAACGGCTACACCAAACGGGGCCAAAGTTGGCTAAGGTGGCAGCTTATCATAATTTTTTCAGTATACTGTCATATAAATAAAATTTATTGGGCATATATGATTGCATAATTAAATTGGGTAAGATTATGAGTACGGTTATATTCAGTGATGAGATTATTATAATGTGATGATATTAAGTTAGAATGTAAGATGAATTATATTTTATTTACGCACTAATAAAGTAATAATAATTGGTTAAGATTAAACTTATAAAGTTAAGTAATAGTACTTATTACTCTAAAAAGTTTATTTTTTATTTTTATAAAACGGGGGTGATAATTTTTTTTTACTTCCAATTCCATGGGATTAGACTGTGCATCCCACCTCTCAATATGAATGCTAATTCCAACATACTAAAAATAACCCCATATATATTAAGAAAATCATTACGTGACTCAATTTTACATATAAATTTTACAATACATGAGTTAAATACGAATAACACAATAAATTTCTTTGATATTTTTTTCAACCAAACAAAATGTAGATGGACCCACAGATCTCTGGCTCTGTGATGCTTATAACATGACTATACGAGGTGAGACTAACATTACTCTAGGGAGGGGTTCAAATTTTCTTGGATCCCATCCCATATATAACTGCTACTGCTATATGTAGCTTTCTATCCATCCACTACAGAATCGTTCGTTCTAGTGTAGTTGTAGTGAGTCAAAACAGAAAATTAAATTCCCACCAACCAAACAAGCCCACTATGGCCACCTCACCTCATCACCACCACCACATCCTCACCGTCTTCCTCCTCATCGCCGCCGCCGCCACCACCACCACCGTCACCGGCACCGACCACATAGTCGGAGCCAACCGAGGATGGAACCCCGGGATCAACTACACCCTCTGGTCCAACAACCAAACCTTCTTCGTGAACGACATGATCTGTACACATAAATCTCAAAATTCATTTCTCTATTGTAGCGTTCTAAATCTGAAATTTCATATTCTTTGTTAACATTTCTTATTTTTTACACTGTTGCAGCGTTTAGGTATCAGAAAACGCAGTACAATGTGTTCGAAGTGAATCAAACTGGTTACGATAACTGTACCACTGAAGGAGCTACGGGGAATTGGAGCAGTGGAAAAGACTTTATTCTCCTTGATAAGGCCAAGAGGTACTACTTCATTTGCGGCAATGGCGGTTGCTACAGCGGAATGAAAGTTTCTGTGCTTGTTCACCCTCTTCCGCCGCCGCCTTCTTCTTCTCCCTCCGGCAAGACCTCCTTGTCGGATTCCACCGCTAAGGACGGGTACAAGGTGCTTGGGAAGGTTGTGGTGGCGGTGGTTTCGTCGATCTGGTTCGGATTTGGCTGGATCTAGCGGCGGTGGTTGTGGTGATTGTTTGTTTTTCTAGGGTTCTTAGAGGAGCTAGCTCTGTGATTGAGATGTATTATTTGGGAAATCAAAGAGAGATTATTAAAAAAAAGGTTTTTTCAGATTTTTTAGATTTGGTTTTATTATTGTTTACTTTTTTGATGGGTGCTTTTTATTATTTTTACTTAATTTTTTAGAGAGAATTTTCGTAATAAAAAAAAAAATTGATTGAGATTTGATGGGATAGTAATGTTTTTGTTTGTCATATTTTATTTTTTATTTTTATTTATTTTTTATTTTTGGGTATGGGTCATGCTTCTTTTTAATTCGAGATTTGATTAGTACGTGTTCTTGGGTTGGTGAGAATTTAACGGTAAATATAATTTTTAAAATAAATTATTGATAAAAATTTAATTTGATTAAGTAGTCATCTATATCTAACAACGTGATTTTTTTTATAGAGATAAAATAGTCAATAAGTTTTACACATTAAACGATTCGAATTATTGAAATATAATTCGTGGTGAGCTCCATAAGCCCACAGCACTAGGGGTGAGCAGCGGATATACCGATCCACCAAAACCGACCGAACCGAACCGATCCGCCACATTTTGGACGGATGCGTGATGACGAGCGGACGGTTGCGGATTGATTTTCCATAAGCCCCACAGCACCATCAAATCCATTGTGTAATGGAGACAAGCATGACCTTTTTGATATTATGAAGCTCGTCGAGTGTTTTATATTTGTAAAAAAATAAGTTGATTGAATATTAGTAGTCCCTTCATCGGAACACATTTTTATCAATGGTAAATGTGATTTTAAAAATAAATTGTTAATAAAAATGTGTTGGTTAAGGGGCTGACGATATCTGATCAACGTAATTTTTTACAGACATAAAGCAATCGATGAGCTCTACACATTGATTGAATTATCGAATTGAGACCCATAATGAGCCCCACGAGCCTAACAGTACGCTTAGTCCATTATGTGGACCGGAAAGAAGTCTCTTCTAAAAAAATATTACCAAATTTTTTCAATGTATTTATATCATCTCTAACGTATATTAATGCAATAAATACTGCATGTACATATAAAATTTATTATATCTGAAGATTGATGAATTACGTGTTTAATTTTATTTTTTTTTCCGTTTCTAGTTTATTTCTTCTGTTTCGCATTTTTTTTTTTGTTTAATTTGTTTTTTTAAAACTATTGGCTGATTAATTACGCAGTACAACTTACAAGTACTACATAAGGATCATTAACCACTTTAATCCATATTACTGTATGAAAGTAGTTCATGAAATGCTTTACTACCTTTTTTTTAGAATCTAAACCAACTTAACAAAATTCATGTAATCTTGCATTTGTGTTTGTTTTTCAATTTTTTTTTTTTTTGGTTTTTGTTTGTTTGTTTGTGTTTATTGGTTTTTTTTTCTTAATATTTATATTTACATGTACTACTAAAAATTTGATCTAAAACAAATGGCTCTTCTGGATTGGCCACACACATACTATAATGACAATTACAATGAAAAGTAAGGCTGTAAGATAGAATAAATCTAGAAAGATTGTAACATTCGAATTGTTCACTACAACACGGGGTGAATGTCCAAAGTTGGACAATCAATTATATTTAATTTCTTACATTTTTAATAATTTTTTTAACTGAGAATGTTTATATCTATGAATTATTGGAACATTAATTATCTAGTTTCATATAGTTTTATTATATATATTTATAATTCATTCCCTATGGATTGACCAAAGGAATAAAAATATTAAATCCAGATTACTTTAATTAATAAGTTAATACAATATGCAGTTTAGTAGAACAAAAGAAAATTCACCAATTTAGTTTTGCAATTTTCAAAAATAGTTTTCAAGTTTCAATCAATATTTTTTATTTTCATTGAATTTTTTAATATTTTAATCAAAATTTGTAACCTTTTAGATTCACTAGATATACTTAAAAAGTATAGTATTTGTGAAAAATCTTTTAAAAATTTATTAAAAATAAAAATATAAAAATTCAGTATTTTTTTGTATTTATTGAATTTTTTTAAAATTTATTTATAAACATTTTACTTTTTAAATATACCTAAATTAGGTACATTTAAAAAAAATTAATTAAAATATTAAAAACACTTTATTGAAATTAACAAAACATGAAAACAAAAAACTCAAAAACCATATTTGAAAATTCAAAATCGTTTACTTAAAATTTTCATTTATTCAAATTTTATTTTTAAAAAAATAAAAAAATTGGGCCTGAGCCTACTCTGAACAATCATCAAACAATGTCAGTAGGCTATAAGTTGTGGGCCCAACACTTGTGAATTGGGCCCACTAAATAAATAATAATATCATCGCTACAGTCTGCTGATCAGAGTACTCCATTGTTGGCCACTACTGGTTGGAATTCTGCCAGTTTTCTATATTATTTGATTACAGCCTTTTCAAACGGATAAAAAAAAATAGTGAAAATATCATCTTACTTTCAAATAATCACTCAAAAATTAATTAAACTCTTATTTTTTTAGCAATATTAATTTTAAGCTATTCGATTTTAGGTCAATTATACTCCTGCCCGTTAAGTGCTGTTTATAATTAACTGAGAGTTGCTGATGTAGTATCAATTTCATTTAAAATTTTATTTTACCCTCCAAAACTATCTATAAAATATCAATTATATTTCAAAAGTTCGTTTTATTTGGGAGTCTAATTGTTAATTTGGGGTGAAATGAAAATTTAAATGAAGTTTGGGTGCTACATCAACAATTTGTGTTTGATTATAGATGGCAATTGACGGTAAGGATAAAATTGATGCAAAATCGAATGGTTTAGGTGTAAAATTAATATTATTAAAAGAAAATGAGTTGAATTGATTTTGAATGATAATTTGAGTGACAAAGTAATATTTTCCCTAAGAAATAAAGAAATTACGGGTTCGTTTGGGAAGTGAGTTGGCTTTTTAGCTTTTTTGACTATTTTAGTCTGGAGCTAAAAAGCCTGATTTGGGAAGGATTTTTGACTTTTTTGGTTTTTTTAACCTTTTTGTGAGAGAAAGAATATAATAATTATGGATTGGATGTGATGTTTTGTCTTATTGAGCTAAAAAACCTAATTTATTTTTTGTGACTAAAATAACCAAAAAAACTCCCAAGTTGGGCTTCCCAAACGAAGCTTACATTGACTTCTTATGATATTTAGAGTTTAAGTCAAATAACACTATTTTTATTAATAATTCATTAGTTATGTAAATGAATAATTAAAATGTATATTTTTATTTATTCATCCTTATGTCTTTACATTATTTACATTGGTTTTAATTCCTTTAATCTTACTAAATAGGAGATCAGTGTAATTATACAAAAATTGTGAGACTGCTTATATTTTCTTCAAATTTCAAGAGATGATAAGTGTAATTTACTAAAATAAAAATTAAAATAAAAAAGGGCAGCTTAACTATAGCTTATTTAGTAAAAAATTATAAATAATAATAATATTTTAGTAAGATTTATTTCTATTTGACAACTATTAAACTCTTTTTTTTTTGAACTTCTAATTTTAGTGAGATTTTCCAAATTTTGAATTTATTTATTTATTGTTATTTTTTATTGTTGGTCTTTGTAGTCTAGAAAAATCAAAGGTTTAATGATGTTTGGTGAGGGTAAATGTAGAGAGAAGGAAGAGAAAAGTGTTTGAGAGAGAGAGAGAGAGAGAGAGAGAGAGATATGAGGAAAAAGTGAGGTAGATGTTCAGCCCAAGAAAAGAAAAAGAAAAAAACAATTCGGATCCAGCATTTTCCAGCATGTGTGAAGTGCACCTTTCCACATGTGCGACACCCACTCCTGCACGTATGGCACGCCTTTCGCACGTGCCCTCAGCTTGTGCAATTAAAGAAGTCTCCAACCTTTGAAGATATACCGTCACCGTACGTGTGGCCTTACCTCACGCATGTGCAGCCTCGCTTCCACTTCGCTTGCGGTTTTGCTTCTTCTCCCAATTGTGCCCTTTGCAAGGCCCACGACATCCCCGATTCCAACTACACTTTTTGTAAATCCGAGAAAGGTTTCAAGGACAATGAATCTAAATGGTCGACTCGACATCTCCAACACGAGAAAGATAACCACAATTAAGGAGAACAAGATAGGTTAGCACCTGGGCATGACAAATTCGTATTGTTATATTAGTTAACCACAAATTAAATTTTAAAATTTATAATCAACTTTCGAAACCGTTCCGCTCCGCTATAGTTAATATATATATATATATATATATATTTTAACCTTTAATGAAATATCAAGTAAAAATGAATGTGAGAAAAATTTAAGATGTGAAATTTGTTATAAATTAATTATATTTATGAAAAATATTATGTAAAATTAGTTTGTATTATATATATATATAATATTATGCAAATTAGTATTATATATTACATAAATATTTGATAATTGGTTAAGAATATTCTTCATTTCGTCAATCCATCCCCAATAGCCCAAACCACGATTTGGTAATTTGTTAATCCGCTATTTGGTTTTTAGTTTTACTCTCAAACCGCCTAAATTGTACAACGAACATCCCTACTCTCGATCATCACAGAATTAGAGGTGTCATTGATTATTTATTATATTTTTTTTTATGTGATTAGTTACAATCATTTTTAAAAAAGATGATCGTATATTTATAAATTCTTTGTTATCATTTTTTTTATAAATAAAAAATATAATGAAAATTATCAAATCAATCTATATATTTATTTTATTTTTATAAACAATGTACATCATTAAAGTAAGGTCTTGGGAACTTAGATTTACTATCTCCAATTTGGGTGGAGGGGTGAGGATTAAAAGCGTGTATTGCGTGGATTTATGTGTAAAATGAATCTAAACCACACATTAGTAAGTGTATTGATTTAAAATGAAAAACCCTCAATAAATTATATTATTTCGTACAAAAATTAAGTGTGTATCATTTTTCTTTTTAGAAAAAAAAAATTATATTACCAAATTTATTTCATGTATTTATATAATTTCTAACGTATATTAATATAATAAATACTATACGTATGTATAAGATTTATCATATTTCAAAATGGAGTGGGGTTCCTGCACAATAGGATACT